CTGGTCTGGGAACTTTCTTTAAATGTTCTTAGGAAAGTGATGCTGGTAAGAGCTACATTTCAGCAAGAACTTTTATTGACCATCCATCATTCCCAGAGCTCCTAAAGTTAACTTCCTCAGGTAACAAACCCCTTACCAACTCTTTGGAGACAAGCACAATGCCCATTTCACAGACAGAAACCGATGCTTACATGGGGATAAGAGGATTGTGCACTGTCATTCTTCTGGCAGGATGTGAAATGAGGCTGGCTCGACCTTGGAACCTTTGAAAGCATTAATAACTTCCTCTCCTTTGGTTTTATGTTTATCCTCTAAAATACTGGGCCCCAAATTCCTAACCACTGTGTGGCTCCATGAGACCGGCTGGTCTAGGTCAAAGACATAATCAACTCAGCAGCAGCACTGACAGGGTGGGAAGGATATATATGCCTACAGCAGGCTGCTTGGTCTGTCCTCTCTGTCACTTCACTGTGTACCTCCATCCCAGGTTTCACCTAATGTGCAATCGTCAGTTCCCCCATGAGGCCATAACATACCAATATGTAAAACGCCGACATGCAGTGGTTCCAGAAAAGTTCATACCCATACAGCATGGAACAACAAGCGTTGTTTATTTGTGTTTTTGTTTGTTTGGCAGTGGTAGGGATCCAACCTGGGGCCTTGGCGCACTAGGAAAGTGCTCCACCACTTAGCCACCCCAGAAGCCTATGAAGAAAGAGGTTTGAAAGGGAGAAACCTTTTTTTCTGCCTTGGTAGGAAAAAGGCTAGACCACAGCTGTAGGGATCTGATTCCAACTTCACTGGAAAATCCAGCATGAGCGAATAGGGACAGGATTCTCTAAGCAGAAACACATCAGTTCTACATGCTGGGAATATAAATGTGCCCCAGGCACTGAGGAAGAAAAGATCACTAGGTTTTGAGACAGTATCATGTGGATATGAATATATTGCTTCATAACAGCTTTTGACTTTCTTGCCAAGTTTAGAAAATATAGCTTTCTGTGAGTCACATCCACTCACCCAGGAGAGATGTTCTAGTGATTCCCTGCCAGCCCTTTCCACTCCTACTCGTGTGCTGTCCCTAGCTCCTGCCCCGTTTTCTCCAGTCCCAGTGAACTCTGGAGCCACCTAGAGAACTCCACCCACAGAAATGGCACTCAGAAATATTCTTATCGAGTCATTTCCTCCCAAGCCCTAAGGGTTCTTGGCGGATGTTGCTAATTAATATTTTTGGCATTCCAATGAAGTAACAGAACAGATACTTTTCTTCAAAGACAAACAAACAAAAATGAAAGCACTAGGACATAGCTTGATTTTTCTAAGACATCTGCAAAGTAGGTAGCAGAAGCACAATCCAGGGCCAGCTTTCCATGCCTCTAAAGTCAGAATGTTATGCCCAAAAAAAACCCACTTTCCAGATTTGTTATGTGTGAGCAGAGAGCATCACACCATTTCTCCACTCTCTGCAACTCCTAGCAGGTGGCCTTGCACACAGTAGGCTCTCAGAAGATGCTGAATGGGGAGATCAAGGAACCAAACTACGTTTGAAGAGACTAAGTAGTATTTTTTTTTTTGTCTTTTTCATTTTTATCGGTACCAGGGATTGAACTCACGACTGCCTGCTTGTAAGACAGGCGCTTATGCCACTGAGCTAAATCCCCAGCCCCCGAGACTAAGTAGTATTATCCTTAGTTCTAAGCTGCACTTCCTATCTTTTCCCAGAATCTCTTTCCAAACTCAGACAGGGATTCTTGGCCAGCTGCAGTGCTGTCATCTGGGGCCAAATTCACACAGTGAGATTGTGCAAGGCACTCAGCAGTACTGGTGATGCTCCAGCTCTTGCTTAGGGTGGAAGATTCATGGAGTTCATTTTATTATTACATTTTAAAGACTGAGTATAAGTCAAAACTATTCCTGTATACTTTGATATCAATGTAATAAATTCAAAATTACAGACAACTGTTTTTCAGTTATGGGGGAGTGATATTATTAAGGAATACTTAAGTCCTACAAAGGATTATACATTTGAAAGGACAGAAATACAGTAATACTTGAGACTGTGTTATAAAATATGACTGTTTAGCATGCATAATATATGTGTGTATGTATTATGTAATACAAAATCAATTCAAAATGAAATATGTTCATCATCAAAAGATAGAGCTATATAAATAAATAAAAGATCTACAGATTGAGAGAAAACATTCTAAAAGTCTGACAAAGTCCTATAATAAGAATAGGTAAAAACTGCTTCGACTCAATAGCTTTGAAAAATTAACTCACTTAAAGAGCCCAAAGATCATACTACAAAAGGTAATATAGAAACGGCCAATAAGCAAACAAATAAAAACATATTCATCAATAGTCATGGAGAAATGCAAATTGACCTCACAGTAAGAGTACTAGAGTACTCATCAAATAGCTAAATTAAGAAGACTGACCACATCAAATATTATCAAGGACTTGAAGTAACTGGATATTTCATGTTGCTTTTAATAGGATAAAATAGTCTAATCATTGTGGGAGAAGTTCTGGAAGTATCTCAAAAAATAAACACATCATTGTTTCTGAATATTCTTAGGCAAGGGGAAAAAAGAATCCACATTTGGAAAGTAAAAAATAATCTTGCACATAGGAAATGCTAAAGAACACCACACACAACTGTAACAGCTAATGAATTCATCAAGGTTATAAGAATCCAGATGGTCAAAATGATCTTAAAAAATAAGGATAAAGTTGGGGGATTCACACTTCACAGCTGCACTAAAGCTTCACTTTAAACCTGCAATAATCAAAAGTGTGTACACACATAAAGACATACATATAAACCAATAGAATAAAATGTAGAATTCAGAAATTAATCCTTATCTTTATGACCGACTTTTTAAAGCAAAGATATCAAGACAATTCAGGTGCAAAGAAGAGTATTTTTCATCAATGCAGCTATGACAACTAGATATGCTATGCAAAAGAATGAAGCTGGATTCCCTACCCCACACTATATACAAAAAGTAACTCAAAATGCACAGTGTGAAATGTAAAGACTAAAACTGTAAAGTTCTTGGGGGCTGGGGATTTAGCTCAGCGGCATAAGCACCTGCCTTGCAAGCAGGCGGTGGTGAGTTCGATCCTTGGTACCGATAAAAAGATAAAAAAACAAAAAAAACTATAAAGTTCTTGAAAGAAAACGAAGTAAATGTTAGATTAGGCAATGGTTTTTTAGATATGATATCAAATGATATGAAGTAAAAACAAATTTAAAATTATTACAGTGTGACATCCTTCAAATAAGCCTTAAAAACATAAAATGAGGCAAATATTATTAATGGACACACAAAAAGTATCCAAATATGTATTATATCAGTTACTTTTAGAAAAGGAAGGAGGCAAAAGAAATAAAGAGCTTACATAGTGTCTGCATTATTTCATTTCTAAAAAGTTTTCTAAAACTTTTAACACACTAATATTTAAAATCTTAATATATGATAGAAGTGGCTGTGAGGTAGGCACACAAGTAGCTTTATGAATACTTGAAATACCTTACAAGTTGGCAAATTACTTTTTTTTTTTTTTGTCTTTTTCGTTTTTATCGGTACCAGGGATCAAACTCACGACCGCACACTTGCAAGGAAGGCGCTTATGCCGCTGAGCTAAATCCCCAGCCCCTGCAAATTACATTTTTAAAAGAGTGAGACCTCCTTATCATGGGTACTCATTACCGGTGAGACATAAGGCAAAATGAAAGTAAATAAAATTGATCTAAAATTGCAGTAGTCTGGAAACTGCTTTGGAAATAAATTCCTGATACAAGCTCCTTTCTGTGTCATTGCTTTTATTCAAAACTGTGGTACAAAGTACATGTCTTTAAGACGATTACTGGATTTTTTCATTTGTTTGTGATCCATGCAAATAGTTGTGGTTTATGTTATATCTCTGTTTCTCCACCCTCTGTCTCTCTGTCTATCTGTCTCTCTCCCTTTCTCTGTCTGTTTGTCTCTCTCTCTCTGTGCTCCTAAATTGGCTTTTATCAGGTTTTCCCGAGCTAAATCTTTTCCTTTTGTTTTTTTTTCTTTTCCCTAGATTTGCTCTTTCTTTTAGTATTTATAAAGCATTATTTTATTTTTCCATTTGTTCATAACTCAGACAGTGCATTTCCTTAGTTTGTCTTTCTCTGTCATCTATACATTGGCTGCTTTATCTACAACTTGTAGGCATTTCATGTATCTAGATATAGTTTAGGCTTATAAGGACCAGCAAAATATAGTTGTCAAAAGAATAAAGTTCACTTATTTAGACTAAAAAGCTAACTTACATACTGATGCGTATTTTAAAATTATCTCAACTACTACAATCCCTTTAATACATGTTTCACAGAAAGTTGTGGGCTTTCAGGAAGATACAGTTGCTGTCACTGTTAGGATCAGCTGAGACTTCTGAGACTCTGGTTCCCTCTGGGTCACAGAGCCCAGGAGGCTGCCTGGCTTAGGTCACATGGGACATGAAAAAGGAGCTTTTCATGGTTCTTAGCTTCCAAAAAGTAACATCCCTTTCCACTGCCAGCCCATGACCTAGGCCCTTGGTGCTGTGTTGTGTAACTCACAGATTCGTTTGAGAAAGGCACAATCATCTCTGCTCTGCAAATGGTACCAGAAAGCAGGAGTGGAACTGTACATGGAAGCTAACCCAGCACAGCCCAGCCACACCACTTCCTCCTTCCCTGGCTGCAGCCAGATGTAGGATAGACTAGTTTGTTTGGTGGAATAATTGTTCTTCCTCATAATCCATCATGCAATTTACTGATTAGACATACACACGAAATGCAAGGATATTTACATCTGAAGAAAAAAAAGTAAGTCCCCAAATATGACATCAATAAAAGCAAACGTTTACAAACACATGTGCACATGCACCAGATGGCCATCTGCCATTATAACTGTATTAGAGCATCCCCTCACACAGGGCTCTTGAAACACATGCCCCTACTGCAGAATGAGGCATACCTGAATAGGGTCCTGTATCAGTCTCATGGGCCCAATGCGCACCTCTGCAGAAGATACCTGCTAAATAGAGGACAGCACATAAGAAATGTCAAGTCATAAACCCCTCAAACTGATAAATTCTTCCCTTCACAGCTCATTACATTCTGGCACTTTGAGACTCTAGATAGGAGGATCCAATCTATTGACTGGAGACAAGTTACAAAATATCATGTACCATACAATCTCTGCTTTATGAAAGAATGTATATATACACATATACATTTACACATACACATATTATATATATTGGAAATATCTGGAAGGAGCTAAGTGATAGAACTTGGATTATTTTTTCAGAATCTAGATTTTTATAATAAACATGCACTTTTTTGGGAGAAACAATAATTCAATAATTATTTTCAATAATTCAATAAACAATAATTCAGTTCAATAATTATTTATTGAGCACCTATGATGCACTGGGCACTTTTATTATTATAGCTATTTTTTATTACAATAGTCTGGTTTATTTCAGATTTTGTTATATAACCACTAATATAGTTTATATGGTTAAAGGTGGCAAATTAATAGTTTGCAAAGTTTGTCATTTTCTAGGCTGTTTTTTATGCTATTGTTATTTCTTTTTTATTTTAAAGAGGATAAAATTAAACAGAACAAAACATCATAAGGAAACAATTTTAAGAAACACAGATTTCAAAGCAAGACCACTGGAGATCTTCACTGTCTATCATATTGTCTCTTGTTTTCTTCCAAATAGTTGTCCACATCTTCACATACAGTAAATACATACTGAACATTATAGTATTAAACTGATCAAAACAGGATGATGAAGATTTTTTAGGTCTTCAAGACCAGACATTAGGGAATTCAACAATGGCTGCCATAATGTCTCTCATTATCTTCAAAGTAGCTGTCCATATTTTACATATGCTGAAATTAAACATAAGAAACTAGACTAATATCACTCTGAACAGTGAATAATAGTATTGCTAGATTTTATATCATAATGCTACATAATTAGCACTGGGTATCTCAGGGCCTCTTCTTCTTCAGAGTATCTGTTCATTACATTGTGCATCATATAATCTGTTCCCGTAAACTGTTTAGAAATTCTCCACATGTGTGGATCTCTACATATATACCTGTGCTTTCTGTGTTATAGGGAAAAACAGATCAAAACAAGACAACAAAACAAATCCCTATAAAAACATGAAATGAAAAAGACATATAAAACCACAATATTAGGTGATCTACAGTAGTTACTATGCTGTCTCTTGTTATTTTCAATAGAATTGTCTACATCATCAGACATAATTGAACATAGCATTACATAGCAATTTTAATAAAAACACAACATTGGAGACATTGTAGAACTTAAAAAGCAGTTAATAATCAAACCGGGATGAGTATCTTATATCTTGTCATCTTCAGAGTAGTTGCCTCTACTCTTAGACTTGATACTATCAAGCATACCAAATTTGAATAAAATAAGTCAAGACAAAACAGCGGTCTAACAAACCAGATTCAAATAAGATCAGTCATAGTAAGACAATGTAATTAATACAGGGCTTCAGTTTAAATTAATAGGGAATTAAGGACATTTACCATAGTATATCCTGCTATTTTGGGGATAGTTGTCTGTGCCCTCAAATCTAGTATGAGTAGACAGACTGGAACAAAATAAAATCAAACTAAACAGAGCAATAAGACTAATGTCACTTTTAAATCCTGATACACTACTAACAATGTCCTCTGCCTTCCATTTTTAGACAATTCCTCCCCTTTCCCTTTCTCACGGTGCTTTGTATATTTTGGGTCCCACTAACTCCTTTAGTTTTTAGATTAGGGGGAAAACTCATTATCTATCTAAGTGGTATTGAACCTTTTTACCCCTGAGCTTGATCTTGAGCTGTATTCCTTTACTTACTAAAGCCTCAAGGTTTTCCTTCCTTCTAGCTGAGTAGTTCTCCGCTACACAAAAGTGTCATGACTTTGCAACCCTATCTGTGGCTGCTGGACAAGTTGTCCCCAGTTCTCTTTGGTTCCCTGTCACACAGAGCATCGTTTTCTCATCTTTGACTTTCAGTTTATTAGCCTCTTTCAGGTTGAGTGTATTTCCTATTTAGAGCATCTCGATGGATCCTATCTCCTGATCTACTCTGCCTGTGTTTCCTTATGTTAGTGTATCAAGGCTATCTATTAGAGATTATAGCCTACCTTCTCTGCCTCATCTCTGCTATTCTATTTTTCTGCTATTATCTGTCCACTTTTCTCCTTCATTCCAGTGTCTGCCCTGTTCATTGAGGCCTCTCTGCCCCTGTTGCTGGAATCCTGGTGTTTTTTTCTATCTCTCTCTAGAATGTCCTTCAATATTTTTTGTAGGGTTGGATTGGGGCCATGAACTCCCACAGTTCCTCCTTGTCTTGGAAACATCTTGTTTCTCCATTAATTTTGAGAGAGAGTTTTTCAGGGTACATCAATCTGGGTTGGAGGTTATTTTCTTTCAGGGCTTGGACTACTTAACTCCAGGCTCTTTTTGATTTGATAGTTTGTGTTGGGAAGTCTGTTGTTATTTTGACGGATTTTCCTTTATAGGTAATCTGCTTTTTTTTCTCTGACACTTTTAATATTTTGTTCTTATGGTGAATTTCTGGGATCTTGGTCATTGTATGTCTAGGTGTAGATATGTTTTGGTTGTAGTTGGTTGGAGTTCTATATGCCTTATTTATCTGGATATCATTTCTTTTTCCTATGCTTGGGAAGTTTTCCTTAATTATTTCTGTGAATAGCCTTTGTAATTCATTTGTGTTTATTTCTGCTTCTTCGCTGACATTTTTTATTCTTAAGTTATAGATCCTCTTGATGTCTTCTAGCCTTGATACTGTTACTTCCTGGTTCCTTGTTATTTTTAAGAGGTCTTTTCTTTCATGATCACATATTACAAATCTATCTTCAAATTTTGAAAGGCTAACTTTAGTTTCTGTCAAGGCATTTTGCCAGCTTTCAATGGAGTTTTTAATTTCCTGGTAATCTCTTTGGATCTGTTTCATGTAATCCAGATTTTGTTTATATGCTTCACCAAAGGTTTCTCTTCTTTTTCTGGGTTCCTCCATTCTTCCATCTGTGTCTTCTTGAGAAGGGCTTAGCATTTCTTTTATTAATCTTTTTATATCTTGTCTCACTTGGATTAGAATTTCAGTTATAAATTCGTCTATGAGGTCACCAAGGTATTTCTTTATGTCCACTGATATTGTGACCAATATTGCATGATTGCTGCACTGGATCACTTCTGTATTTACCTCTGCTGGACTTATTTTCTCAGAGTCAGAAGTTGGGGGCTTTTTATTATTTCTTTCTCTTGTCACGTTTCTGGTTTCTTTCAGACAGGTGTATGGTGGAGATCTCAGGCCTTCTCCACATTGCTTACGGGTTTTCTAAAGCATGCTGGCTGGGGGCTTGCTGCCTTCTCTAGTTTGCTGTTATCTGAGGTGCACGCAGGGACTGTGGGTTGGCCCCTCTTCTCTGAGCCAATCAATCAGCGAGTGCCTTCAGCACGTTAGTCTGTGCTGTGCGGATGTCACAGGTTTGGGACAGTTTCGTCCCTGGCTATTGGGTCCCGACCCAGGGTGTGACTCAGCCCAGGCAGGTCCCACTAGTCCTCTTTGGGCCAGGGGCAGCTTACTGACACCGCTGAAGTTCTGGGTTGAGGCCTCTCCTGCCCAACTCCAATATGTTCTTCAGCAGGCCCCACCCGCTACAGGACCCAATTTCCAGCACTCACCAAAAATTAATGTAGTTCTCCACCTTGGCTTCACTCTACGCTGCGTCGCATCCTCCCGCCAAAGGCCCTGGACTCACCAACTCCTGATTTTGGAGGCCGTGGCTTCAGTGCAACCGTGAATTGTTCAACTCCACAGTGTGCCCAGCACAGCATGGGACCAGTCCCAGTAAGCGTGTCTTGTTCCAGCCTTTCATCACATTTTCCCTTCCTTTCTTTCTTTTCCTTTTTCCTCAGTTTCTTCCTGGGTTGTGAGAATCCCTCTCCTTTTGTCTGGTCTTCTCCATGTTGTTAAATTCTAGTGTCTGAGTTGTTTTGCTGAGAGGCTCTCTACCCTGCTACCTATCAAGCCGCTGTCTTCAGCATGCTATTATAGCTATTGTTAATTTAAAATCTCAGAAAGGAGTAAAAATTTGTAGCTCTTGATCTTGGATGCTAAAGCACATAATGGCTTAGCAGCTGTTCCTGTATTTGAATCCTATTTTTCTTATCTTTATATTTTAGTATATGGCACAAACAGCTCACTCTTGCCTACATTTACGGTGAAAGCCTACTCATGTCCAATGTGTTTCCCAAACTAAAGGCAGTAATAACACACCAGGAACCCGCAAGACTGACCTCTGCCCCACAGCTCCTGGAGTGAGGCTGGCCTCACACCACCTAACTGTCTTTGGCTACAGGCAGAGCAAATGCTTCTCTTCGTTTTTAATTTTACCTGAATTTCCATCAGTAACTGTGGGAGGCTTTAGCCTCACCTCCATGGATCTGGTTTTGTTTTTCCGAAGAAGGTAAGGTTGGGCACCACTACTTGGACACTCATGCCACACTCACGTGCTGCGGTAGCCTGCAGTCAGCCAGGAGCTGGTGGTCTACTAACACCAGAATTACCCAGGGTCAGAGAAGACCTTAGCCATTAAAAAACAAACAAACAGTAAAGCAAAGCTTTCCACCAACTACATTTTGGAAGATGCTAAGCCACTTCGTTCCTCCTTCCCTCATGCTGAACTAAGAATCTTTGCACATCCTGACCACTGTCCATCCTCTGCTGACTGACTCTTCTGACCCGAGGACCTCAACACTGTGGGAGGAAGAATTGAGGGTGAGGCTTGAGACCCTCACCAACCAGCCAAAGCAAACCCCAAGAGCTCCCTGACTACAGCTTCTGTCTTGCATGCTGGGCATGTCAGTCTCCCTGGCCACAGTCTCTCCTGCCATCTGCGCCAGGGAGGCCAGGGCCTGTAACTTAGAGATGCCTCCTCTAGCATCTCACTGCTGCACCCAG